AAAAAAAAAAAAAAAAAAAAAAAATGCCTATGGGAAAAGCTATACTTAAAAGATATTAAAAGAGGAAAAAAAGAAAAAAACCTGGAGATTTAGTTAGGTTTTAAAAAAGTCCTTTATAAGAATGGCAGAGGTTGGCTGGGCGTGGTGGCTCACACCTGTAATCCTAGCACTTTGGGAGGCCCAGGTGGGTGGATCACCTGAAGTCAGGAGTTCAAGACCAACCTGGCCATCATGGTGAAACCCCATCGATATATATTTTTTTTAGTTAAAAAAAAGAAAGAAGATAAAAAAGAATGGCAGAGGATGTCAAAACACTGAATAACCATAGTTTATTTGCTCTTATTGGAATATATTACAAGAGTGAAAAATCTGTTATGAGTTTTTAATTCTCAAACTGAATATTTGAATTTCAAGGATGAAGAAGATGATGATGACTATGTTGAAGAAGGAGAAGAGGAGGAAGAAGAAGGTGAGTTACATTAGCCATAAACAAATTCTAAAATTAAAGACATAGTTATTTTTTAGACAGTTTATTTATCTTACACTTTAAAGAATGAGTGTATAATGTAGATTTTTACTGATCCCTTTGCTTTTGCTTTATCATAGAGTACCTTCAAAGTTATAAAAGTTTTTTTGTTTTAAGAGTAATTGTCTTAGAGCACTCATTAATTCCATTAAAAACAAACAGCTTATAACATTTATTGTAAAAACAGAAATGAAGGGACGAATGGAACCTTGGGCTCAATTTATTATTTTCATAGAGCTTCATTTTGGAGAGAGTGAAGCTTATTTGTAAGAGAGGAGCAGTTGAATTGCAGATAATTAATGCCCTTTTTAGATTTGCTTTCTAGGCCTTTCAAAAAAAAAATTTTTTTTTTGAAACACGATGGCACAATCTCCACTGACTGCAACCTCCACTTCCTGGGTTCAAGTGATTCTCTTGCCTCAGCTTCCCAAGTAGTGGGGATTACAGGTGCCTGCCACCATTCCTGGCTGATTTTTTTTTTTTTTTGTATTTTTAGTAGAGACGGGGTTTTGCCATGTTGACCAGGATGGTCTCGTACTCCTGACCTCATGATCCACCTGCCTCAGCCTTCCAAAGTGCTGGGATTAAGGGC